ACGTTGGAGGAGATTTTTTTTTTTTATAATTGATTAATATAAAACAAATTAAATTAAATTTTTTAATCTAATCAATCTCTTTCGAATATTCGTAATTTTCGCAAGAAAAATTGATATTACGTATGTTATGCGAATGTGTCATATCGTATTTGAAATAATGGAAACGGATATCTCTCTATTTTGTTCTTTCCGTCCCTTCGAAATGGGAGATAAGAGCCGAAAGGACGTCGGCGCGATTTGTCTGCGTCTCTAGAACGAATCTAAGACGATTCTAGAGCCATACATCTTAGATCTAAACTCGGAAAAGCCCTGACCTTTTTTTTTTCCACGTCGCTCGTTGTCGCCTGTAATGAGCGAAAGCTTTCTATTAAATTGAAGAACGCGGAACCACACACACGCGCGCGCGCAAAAACACATACGCGGAATATACGAACACATCGAGGAAGAGAAGGAGGTTCTTAAACCAACGCCTTTTTGGTAGAAAGTATCAGCGGAAAATTTCAAAAGTAGGACGACGTGGGTTACCTCAGATATCTGACGCAAGGTCACGAGGAACTTGTGCCAATCATCGTCGAAGCCAAGTGAAACAGCACTCCGCCGTGGCTAACTCCCAGCGTTGTGTTATGTTACGCGCGCGCGCGCGCGCGCATTCTCTTAAGAGCCTATATCTATTTTAAAAACACAAAACTCGCTCTAAGGAAAAATCTCGCGTTTCTTGCATCTGAATTACTGCTGTTTTCGAAAATGTCTTAAATTACACAACACCGCGCGTTTGTATATCTATATTATCCCTAAGCCGCGTTGTTTTCGCGTATACATTATTATGCGCGCTATGCAACTTCACACGTTTATAACACGCTCCATTAAGTAAATTCCAACACAACCCTTTTCCCTTCCCCTCTCCCATACTCGAAAATTATGAACTTATTTTGTTTCCGGCGCGATCAATTAGATTTTTTATTTGTACACAACGTATTATTCGCGAATTCATTATCGCACGAACTTAACTTTGTTGCAACTGTAAAAAAAAAAAACAAAAAAAAAAAAACAAAAAGAAGAAAAGAAAACACGTCGAGAAATGTTTCGGCCTTGGTTTCCTCGTTCCGTATGTTTTTTCTTTCTTTCTCTTGTCACATGTTTCTCGGAAAAATCGTATTTTCTCATCTGGGACGTAATAGACACGATGTAAGGCCTATAACACTCGAACCTTGGCCGTGCTAATAGGTTGATTCGCTCGATAGCGTTCGCTCACCGTTACGACGGCCGAAGCGGCCGTAACGCGCTATACTTGATCGAATGCCATCGCACCCCCGATAGTGTGTCTCCCATTGCACAAATAACTCTATTATATTTCTCTATTATATTTGTACGCATCAAAAATACGCCCAAAATACGACGTGCTCGAGCAAAATATACGAAAAAACAATAAACATAACGGGGGATACAGGGGTGACGGGGAGGGGGGGGGTGAAAAAATGGCTGTGAACTTCTTTTTCACCGTTTTTTTTAACGAGTCTAGGGGGGAAAGAGTTCTTTCTCTTGCTGTGATGATTTGAGCGAGAGACCGTCTCGCGAAAATTCGCGCTTTATGTATATATACGCGCCGTCGTTATCGAAGAGCGATATTTTCACCCGCCTTCCCGACATATTACGCACACGTAACAAAAAGTTGCCACGTGGTGGCTTCCCGTCTCGTTTCGCTTGGAATGATATTCGTCGCGGGGAAAAGAAAAAAGCTTCACATCGCGTGTCCCCCGTGCGATGAGAGATAGAGAAAGAGAACGGAGAGACGCAGATTCCGTGGTGGTGTGTCGCATTGCGGCGCACGGGAGGCAAAAGTACCACCCGATGTACCGACCTCGAAATATGCGACAGACGACGCACTCGAAACTCGAGCGAGGCCGTTAGAAAATCGAACGACGCTCCGTGGAACATCGCGACCCCGAGAACAGAGAGATAGAAAGAGAGAGAGAGAGAGAGAGAGAGAGAGAGAGAGAGAGAGAGAGAGAAAGAAAAGGCCCAAAAAGAAAGAGCGGATTATGGATACAAGACTCCTTCGCGTGCAGGAGCAAGGAACCGAGACGAAGTGAATTATATCGAGGTGTCGAGCTTTGAGAAGATAAGTGGCCGAGTGCCATAAGTGTCCTGTCCGGCTGAAAATCTCTAATGTTCCATTTAAACCGGACAAACGTGGCGTAAAGAACGGAAACTCCGGTCGGAATGACGCGGATGTTACGTACGACGGTTGAAAAGGAAATTTCAAGAGAAGCGAAGTTTTTTTTCGTTTTTTATTTTAAAAGCGCGATTGACAAATGTAATTTTCTCCGCAATTTCGATTCCTGCAAAGAGTAGGGAAAGAAGTAACGATGTAACAATTTGACGTTTGTGACACACTGTCAATCGTTTCTTTCTCTAATTTGCGCGTTGCACTTTACTCTGTCCTCGCGCGAGACACCTCCAAGTGGTGTGTTGCTCGAAGGAAAATAAAAACGGCCATTCGGAAAATGAACGCGCGCGCGCGCGCGCAATTACGCCGCGTTGTAAAAAACCGCGCCGCAATTGTGTGCGCCGCACAATATTTCGCCCATCTAAAAATCCGTATTACTTCTGTTATCGATCACGTGTCAAGGACATGAAGCGTTCTGGAGCCGCATTTTATATATCACTCTTTTTCCCTCACGTCCGCATATCAATATCCGCGCCTCGGTCTGTTACATGCTAAATCAGAGACTCGTCTTCTGTTTCCGACCCGCGGTGTCGGAAACATTTAACTCACGCGCTCCGCCCTAAACAATAACAAGAAACGAGAGAACTGCCCGTCTCGCTCGGGTAACGACCTCGACAATTTTTCGATTCGCGAAATGTGAAACTCGCTCCGCGAGTATCGCTCGCGATATCAATTTCGAGCGTTACATCTTTTGTTACATCTCTGATTAATCACTTGTGTGTAATTTTACAATTTTTTAATTTTTTAATTTCATTTATTTCGTTTTGAAATTAATTTAAATTTTATTTAAAAAAAAAACAATATTAATATATCGCGTGTATAATTAGTTACACGGAATAATTCCGTGCGAAGATTATTCGCGCGGAATGTTCATTACGATCCTGTTGTCGTTTAAGGATCCGAGCGCTTCTTCCGAATTTCTATCTCTCTTTGCGAAGAACGGAGTTTCGGGCGTGGTATCTCCTCGTGTAAGACAAGAGCGTTACGATCATCGACATTGTTCCTCTCTCTGGTCTCCCTCCTGAATTTCACAAAATCGATTCAAACTCCCCCGTTTTATACCCTCTCTTCTCACGGGATAGCCGTGCAAAATTGCAACTTTCCTCTCGTTGTTTCGTTTTTTCAACAATATATTTTGTCCTTGTTGTGTAAATGGTTCGAAATTAAACCGTTTGTTCGCGCGCGTGTGTGTTTGTGCGCGTGTTTTCCTTTATTACTCGCGGAGTTTTGTGTTTTATCTCCACCGATTTGACTTAACTTTCCGCTGTAGTGTGTGCATCTTATAGCCTCTCGCAATAATTCGCTACAGCTTTTGTGTACCTGGAGCACATCCTCGCTTCCCCGGACACGCTCGCGCGCACATATATATGTATCTATATATTTGTTTATATCCACTTAACCATCCTAGAATATTGAATTTTATCTAAGAGAGAAAGTAGAAATAATAATAATTCAAAGTACACGTATCAACAAAAAAAGTGCGCGGTAATGCGAGAGACAACTCTCTTTCTATTCGGTGGCTGTAAATTTATATATCGAGAGTGATTCTTCGCGAGTGATATCGTTTGCTGCGAGTGAACGCGATCGTCATTACAACCGCGAGTCATCGCGCTTCGCCACTCCTTTAGCGTGAAGACGAGAGAAGCAGCGATGTAATCGCGTATACGTATCGGCCGCGCACAGAGAGAGAGAGAGAGAGAGAGA